ACCTGAAGGAATAAGACGAGGCTCCTAGAACTCAACCATGAAGTGCTCGGGGGCTTATCGATCCTATGATGTTTTTGCAACCAGGGAAAGGACCAGATGTTGACCACATCTCGAGTTAAGCAAAAAAGCCAAAAAGAAGAAGCCAAAGACGAAAGCCAGACAAGCACTCGGCAAATCAAGAAAGTTTGTCAAGACAACGATCTACAGACACCGAGTGGTTTACACAACGCAGATGAAAGCCAGAACAAACAACTACTCGGAGAAAATTCTAATCACTTGGACAACTCGTTTAAAGAACAAGCAAGGCGAAGACATCCAGGCAAAGAAGACATGAACAGAAATAAAGAATCTTCATTCAAAAGGAAGTATAATATCCTATTACAAAGGCTGGAAGTACAAAGGTCGATTACATCAAGCATCGTCATCAGGAGAAGAAACATCAATATTAAGATTGTCCACAATTCTACTGGCTAAATCTTTGACCTCAGGCTCCACCTTTTCAACAGCATCTAGATACTCTTGACTCTCGGCTTCCTCTGTAACCTTGGACAAAGGGAACTCCGGAGCAAGAACCCGGACCTGGGCAAGAACATTTCTGATACATAAGCGGGCGCACCTCTTCACGAACTCCTAGAAACGAGTCGGAACTTGGGGAATAAATTGAGCCCAAGGTTGACCATCATCTGCTGGAGTCCGGAGAAGGCCGGCTACTGATCGAAAAGATTTCCACAAAGTATTCTAATTCTCAATAGCTGTCGCCAACTTGCCAGTCAAGACTTCGATAGTTTTTTGGGCCTGCACAAGATCCCTGTCAGCTCCACGCCTAATCAACTTAGCAAACACGAGTTCTTCTTCAGCTCGAGTAATTACCTCCTCAGCCCAATTGTGGTTAGTGTAAACAAGTGTCTTCATCTTCTCAATACCCTCCGAGAGCTTCTGCTTTTCAACTCGGAGAGCTAGACCAGGCAACAAAAAACAAGTCAGCAGAAAGGGAAATTTGAATACAAAAGGAAGCGAAAAAAGAACTTGCAATACCAAAGTGCACTCTTTCTTCATGGCCTCCACATTTTCAAGGCCTCTGGTAGCTGCATCCCTCCTTTTACCTCCTCAACCACCACCATACAACTACATCCGACAACATCAGATTACGGAGAACATGCCAAGACCACATGCAGAGAGTTACATTGAATAAAACAACCCAGATATATGCTCGGGGGCTGCAACAGGAGAGGTTTTCAGTCATTTGAACAACTCAGATTCAAGACCCTCCAACTCTTTGTTCCAAATAGCAAGAGGCTTAGGGGATACACTCAATGAGTGCACTTTTTTCTCCGAAAAAGCGCACATCATCAAGACAGATCACTTCAAGACCTCACGACAAAAAGAACCCGGATCTAGCTATATCCGAGCTCTTTTTGATAAAAAAAACCCGGGTATATGCTCAGGAATTCTTAAGAGAAGACCCTCCAGCTCCTTGTGCCAAAAAGCAAGAGGCTCGGGGGGCTACACCCAAATGGGAGTACTTTTTTCTTCAAAAAGGTACACATCACGCGAAGATCTCACGAAGCGCTACCCGGTTTCGCTCAAGAAAGCACTTTCGACGACGCTTGTTCACTGCAAAGCCAAGACACAAGGAACAAGACGAGGCTTCCAGAGCTCAACCATAAAGTGCTCGGGGGCTTGTCGGTGCAAGACCCACGGGATACCCCGCAAGGAAGGGAGAAGATCTAATCTAACTAGGATTCTTCCCATGTAATCCTAGTAGTAGTATTATTCTATAATCCTACTAGGAACTCTCATTGTAAACCGACTATGACTCTGGCCTCCTGACTATATAAAGGAGGGCAGGGTTCCTAGAGACGGACTTTTTACAACACAACACTTCACAATTAATCCAACGCAGAGGCTAACGCCTACTGGACGTAGGGCTATTACTCAATCAACGATCGAGGGTCCGAACCAGGATAAATCGACTATCTCTTGCGTTCACCGTCGAGTTCCGCATACGCTGAAGCCCGAACATACTGCCCCGGGTACTCCCGTGGCAGGCTATCGGTGGTCAAACATCGACAAATGGAAAAAAATATGGAGTTGTATCAATGATTCTCAATGGAAGATCGGGGCTTTTTTGACCAATTCTTATGCTAATCCTAAGAAATTCCGTTCAAGAAAGAATCAAATCAATTTTGGATTGAACCAACAACCTGATTGTGTGGTTATTCTTCATCCAGATAGAAAGTCATCGGTCATACTGGAAGCTGATCGATCACTAATACCTATTGCATCCTTAGTTGATTCTATACATCCCATGGGAATCCTATAAAAGAATCCATTATCCCATCCCTACGAATGATCCTATACTGTTTGTATATCTATTTCGTCATTCGATCACGAAAACAGTGATTCTTGAACGAAAAAGAATCACAGCAATAAGGCTCTTAAGACTCGAAAAAGTGGCATCTTTTAGTACGAGAAGGAAGGGGGCATTTGAACCTACTCCTCCTCTCATTCTCCCCCAAAAGAAAATCTAAAAATAAAATTATTATTAGGTTCGTCCTTTGGCTGGTTCCCCCTTGTGTAACGATTGCAAAAAAAATCCGTTTCATGTTTTTGATATTCAGTTTTATTTGTAATTTGGTGGGTTTCGCGGAAGTAGATTTCAGGGAAATTGTACTAACTCTCTCCTCCGGGGAGCCTTCAGTCAATCAGCCAATGCCTCCTGTTGAGCAAGAGACACTGATAATGCCCACTCCGAGTCCTTCCTCTAGGGAACCTTCGGTCAATCAGCCAACGCCTCCTATTGAGCACGAGGCACAACAACCAATCCAGCAGGGGCTTGAGGCACAACATGCCTTATCGGCATCCTACGATGAAATTCGTCGGCTATACGTGGAAGACATCGTGAAGCGTTGCACCTGGATGCGGAGCCAGAGGAGTGAGCTGCTGCATTCCCCGGATATTGTGAATAATGTTCGATCGATGGCGACTGATCTAGAACTGGAATTATTTTCAGCGGAAGAATTACGGGGATTTATCTAGGACATTAGAGCGAATCCAACGCTATTGAATTCCAAATTCAGGGAATATTGGCCTAGCCATAAATAATTTCGATGGAAGAGAAGGGAAGGACCTAGTTTTGTTGTAGGCACACTAATTCTCCTTGGCTTACATTTCATTTACTAAAAGGAGGATAAAAAGGGAGGATAAAAAAAGAACTACGAAAGCAACCCTGATCTTTCTTCTATGAAGAAAGTACGTGGGCACTCCTCGAGGACGCGGGTTTCAAAGTCGGTTCTACACATTCGAGAAGACACACCGGCTGTATCAGAATTCTATCGGTCGCGGAGTCGGCGGACAGCTCTGCTCCAACTTCATCAAGGTGAGACGCAATCTCCATGGCTCTATGTATTTTGCATGCTCTAGCGGATGTAGTGTTTCCTTCGTTAGTTTCATTTATTTCAGTTCATTTCTAGTTGCTTGCTGGACTTGCCCCATACCTTTATTTGCCTTGCATGGTTTGACATTTTCATCCTGCTGTGAAACCAATGCATATAGCTTTCATTACTTGTTTGATAAAGCCTTAATAAATTGCTAAGTGGATAAGTGTATCGCTATGATGGGCTATAAGTCAAAGAATTCAAATATAGTGCATTCTAGAAATCTTAAGACAAATTAAGAGAGAACATAAAAAGCGCATGTACCATCGTTTTATTTTCCAATCATACGCTATCATTAACATGATTGATATAATTAATGATGATTGATTGATAAATAGAAAATATTTAATGCCAAACTGGATTTTGTCCTCCAGAATACATTATATTTGAGGATAAATTTTGAATGCTAGAATGCACTATATTACAGAACGAATGGAGTATTTTTCTATTACTTATGGGTAGTCCATAAGCATATGTATAACTTTAGCTATAGACTGCTCCACAGACTACTCACACAATATTTTAGTCAGTCTTCAGTGAATATTTAAATGCCTATGAACTACTTTTGAACCACATTGTGGTTGCTCTAAGCGTGGAACAGTCATAAAAAAACTGTGCCGTAATAGCATTTAGATTTTCAAAACAAAAAGAGAAAAGAAGCAAAACGTACTAACCCCGTATAAGTGGGTAAGTGTTTTTTTTTGGGTACGAAGTCCGTTTGATGTTTCCATCAATCAAAGTCTTAAAATGTCCTACTACGATGGTTCCGACGAGTGTTGTGTATATGTACATGTACGAACAATGCTTGAGTACTTACTCTTGTTTTCGTACTGCTGGAGTTGGAACGGCTTGGTTTTAATTTGATGAAGCGTTTCCGTATGTGTTTAGGAAATGGCGTCCTAAGGTACCCAATGGCCAATGCAAGAAAGGCGAGTGTTTAAAGAGGAGCCACGAGCGCAGCGGTAACACACCACGGCACCGGAAAGTTTGATAGTGAACTTATATACAGAAGAGTAAATGACAACCACTTAGTCCAGCCTAACAATAGAAGTGGACCATTAGTATGTGCTAAATGCCAACTTATAAGACAACAAAGGGGTCTTTTATGGACTAGCTGGCCATTGAACAACTTTTAACATAAAAGTAGTAGCCAGTGAAAGATTCATCAATGTTTTTATACCTAATCCCTTGAACAAAAGAGAGGACATTTTTATAACTACTATATAAAACTAATAACTTGTTCATAATATAAGCTTCGTAGGCCACAGTTGGGCCGGACTCGAAGTCGCCCCATAGTGCTGGTAGGAGAGGCATTTACTACCTAAAACATATTGTGGGCCAAATTGTTTTGGCCCATATGACCACGCACTTGTTTATTCAAGGCCCACCAGCCGTCTTCGCCTACAGCCTTCCAGCTAGGTCCACTGACAAAACCCTGGTTCGTTCCCCGCTCTAAACCTAAACCTCACCTCGCCTCCGCCCTCCCTCAAGTCCTCAACCCCGGCGGCCAAAAGTCGAAGCACCGAACCAGCGGCGTCGGCGGCGGCGCGGCAAGTGGTGACCATGGCGGAGCTCAAGCGGCTGTCGGAGAGCCGGGACCTGACGCGGATTGAGCGCATCGGCGCGCACTCCCACATCCGGGGTCTAGGGTTGGACTCCTCCATGGAGGCGCGCGATGCCTCGGAGGGCATGGTCGGGCAGCTCCCCGCGCGCCGCGCCGCGGGGCTCATACTCCAGCTCATCCGCCAGGGCAAGATTGCGGGCCGCGCTGTGCTCCTTGCGGGCCAGCCCGGCACCGGCAAGACCGCGCTCGCCATGGGCATCGCCAAGTCGCTTGGCGCGGAGACGCCCTTTGCCTCCGTCGCCGCCTCGGAGCTCTTCTCGCTCGACCTCTCCAAGACGGAGGCGCTCACGCAGGCCTTCCGCCGCGCCATCGGCGTACGCATCAAGGAGGAGGCGGAGATCATCGAGGGCGAGGTCGTGGAGATCTCAATCGACCGCCCTTTGTCGGCCTCTGGCGCTGGCAGCAGCTCGGCTGCCCCTTCCGGTGCTACTGCGGTTGGTAAGTCAGGGCGGCTCACGCTGAAGACCACGGACATGGAAACGGTGTACGAGCTCGGAGGAAAGATGATTGAGGCTCTTGGGAAGGAGAAGGTGCAGAGTGGGGATGTAATTGCGCTTGACAAGGCCTCAGGGAAGGTCACCAAGCTTGGCCGCTCCATCGGGAGGTCACGGGATTATGATGCCGTTGGCCCGCACACCAAGTTTGTCAAGTGTCCTGATGGTGAGCTCCAGAAGCGCAAGGAGGTCGTGCACTGTGTTACCTTACATGAGATTGATGTCATCAATAGCAGGTACCTTCACTTTCCCCTTTCCATGAATTCTTTCACATCGAGATATAGTTCAGGTTTTGTAACCTTTAACAGTTCTGACAAGGAATCCACATTGAACATTCACAATGTAGTGATGTAGTATTGAGTGACGTTAATGGGAAATTGGCCTTGCAAATTGCAAGACTACAGCAAGAAATCACACGCCAGTAAAAATACCATAGCAAGTATTTGATAATTTTACAAACAACGACAATATAAATTAACTTGCTGCTACCTGGGTTATGCTGAGTGTAAGTGTTGGTTCAATTTGAGCTGCCAAAATTTAGTTCTATTCTAGAAAAAAAATCTATGCCAAGGGAGCTTTATAAGGTTCACAAACAATTGTTAGCTCAAACCTGTTTATAGTTCAGTTCTGACTTCTCTTCCAGCAGAAAATGTAAAACTATGTTCTCTTGCTTGTCAAACTTTTGTTGTATACCTGACAATAATTATGCATATGTGCAGTGAAAAAGATAATTTGACCTATATGCATATCCACACCTGAAGCTTTATTAAATTTATTTTTCAATCCTAAAAGATTTGTGCAGCAACTTACGGTTAATGATCAACTGTTTTGACATGTTAATTCTTTAAAAGTGAATAGGAAGCGTACGGCATAACTAAACAAAACTTAGAAATTCTATTGTCTTCTCATGTATCTGTGACAATGCTGAGGTAATTTAATGCTCCAGTTCAAGTTCTGGTGACAGTATTGGCTGATTTGGTCACAATTATATAAGTTGGGGAATCACGTGCGTGAACCTTGATTGCTTCTGCTGGGTGTTCTGGTGACAGTATTGGCTGATTTGGTCACAATTATATAAGTTGGGGAATCACGTGCCTGAACCTTGATTGCTTCTGCTGGGTTTCAACTCTAGCCTACCCCAACTTGTTTGGGACTTAAAGGCTTTGTTGTTGTTGTTGTTGTTGTTGTTGTTGTATATAAGTTGGGGAACCAAATTGGGCCATCTCAACTTGGAGGACCATAGTAAGCCTATGGCAAAGTTCAGGAGCCAAAATGGTTATTTCACCAATGTAATAAATATTTCCTAATTATGTATCGAGGCTGTCATGCCATTGGTATTCTTTGCATCAAAACTGACCTCTGTTGGTGCTAATTGTTCCATCCTACTATCCCCATGTGCTGTGTCATCCAACTGACTTTTGTAGCTCTATTCAAAGAAAGGATCTCCATGGTCTTGTTTTATATCAATTTGTTTTAGGGGTGTGCAAAGTAGAGAACATGGTCCTATGAAAATGAGTAGTTTTACTGATACATGTTCCTGAGTTAGTCAATGCCATATTAGAATGCAATGCATACCTAAGGATTTGGACTCTGTTTAAAGCTGACCTTGGAGGACGTTTTGGAAGCATCTAAAACTGAATGTTATTCTTTTGTAACGATTACTAAACTTCGACATAACCTATGAGTAAAATTCGACATAACCTATGCGTGTACTAGAAGATACAGTTTGGATGAAATTGCATTAACTTTTTCCCTTCTTTTCCTGCTTGGTTCGCGACCAAAATTTGACATGCCAAAGATTTGGCAGCCAAAACTTGGGCAAAAAAAGTTGCCAAGGATTTGGCAAGCCAAATGTGAGAAGTTGGCAAGTTTTGGTAGCCAACCAAATAATAGCCAAAATCATGGCTTGGTAAATTTTGGAAGTGAACCAAGCAGGCCTATGAATTTATCAGACCTTTCTGGTAATTGCAGGCTGTGCTTCATTTTGTCCTGGAATGAATGATATAAACGTTTACTGGGTTTCAGATGTAAATTAATCTGTAGTGTGAAATTCAAAATTTCCTCAATAAACTCATTTCTATTATCTTGTTATGTTCTGTCCAGGACACAGGGTTTTCTTGCACTGTTCACTGGTGACACTGGTGAAATTCGTGCAGAGGTTCGGGAGCAGATTGACACAAAAGTTGCAGAGTGGAGAGAGGAAGGAAAAGCTGAGATTGTCCCTGGTGTTCTGTTCATCGATGAAGTCCACATGCTAGACATCGAGTGCTTCTCCTTCCTCAACCGCGCATTGGAAAATGACATGGCTCCGATCCTAGTAATCGCAACAAACAGAGGGATCACATCCATCCGTGGGACAAACTACCGTTCACCGCATGGGATCCCACCAGACTTCCTTGATCGGTTACTGATCATCATGACGCAGCCCTACACGGAGGACGAGATCCGGAAGATCCTGGATATCCGGTGCGATGAGGAGGACGTGGAGATGTCCGCGGACGCCAAGGTCCTGCTAACCAAGATCGGCGTGGAGACCTCGCTGCGGTACGCCATCAACCTTATCACATCCGCCGCACTAGCCTGCCAGAGGCGCAAGGGGAAGGTGGTCGAGATGGAGGACATTAGCCGGGTGTACCAGCTGTTCCTGGACGTGAAGCGGTCGACGCAGTACCTGATGGGGTACCAGAGCCAGTACATGTTCAACGAAGTGCCGGGGGAAGCTGATGGAGAGGACGCCATGCAATCCTAGATGACCTTTCCTTTACAAGGTGTCTGGGTTAGTATGTACTGCGTCGTGTATTTCTGATGCGTCTTGCTTGTTTAGGTTGCTGTTACCCTGACAAGGCGTGGTGTGTGCGATGGACTGTCTGTCAGCTGATGTAGGTGACTATGCAACTCAATCTATCTTAGCCCGTGTTTAGTTACCAACCAAAATCCTAAAAAGTGCTACATTATCCATCACATCGAATCTTGCGATACGTGTATGGAGCATTAAATGTAGATGAAAAAAAAACTAATTGCACAGTTTGGTTGGAAATTGCGAGACGAACGTTTTGAGCCTAATTAGTCCATGATTGAATACTAATTATCAAATAAAAACGAAAGTGCTACAGTAGCCCAAATTTCAAACTTCAACCAACTAAACACGCGCTTATTAAAATTCACCCCAGTTGCAGTGCCGTGGTTTGTTTAAATTAGATTTGTGCCACCATCTCGTACTGTATTTCGACATATATGCATGATAGATTTGTCCAGGATGCGTGAGGTGAGGTCAGTTCTAGGGTAGGCATCGAGCAGTGCTGTTCTTGGACTGAAAGGCAAACGCTTTTGGCAAGTATTTGGGCCGCCTTCTGCCAATTGTTATAAAATGACACCGGACTTGAGCAGGTGTCCGTGTGATGTGTGACCCATGTGCCATCAAGTGGCGTGTTCAATCCTTTGCAAGGCAAGCCTTAGGCCCCGTTTAGATTCAAAATTTTTTTTACGTAGTATCCGTCACATCGAATTTTACGGTGCATGCATAGAGTACTAAATATAGACGAAAAAAAATCTAATTACACAGTTAGGTGAGAAATCGCGAGACGAAACTTTTAAACATAATTAATCCATAATTAAACACTAATTATCAAATACAAACGAAAGTGTTATGGTTGCCAAAATTCAAAATTTTTTGATCTAAATGGGGCCTTACTTTTGTGAGGCGCTCGTCTGCCCGCCGTTAACCACCTCCACTCCACGGCACCACACGGCCGGCGCAAGCCCGCACGTACTTTGCCTTGTCACGGGCTCACGGGAGGGGGTATGCGTATCGCGTTTTGCAAGGCAAGAAAGCCTCGGGCCGAGGAGCTTTCCGGAACGGGGCTCACGTCGGCGGTTCCTCCTCCTCTATAATCCTCCCCTTCGTTTATTGCTCTCCTCCGGTCCTCCCCCGCAACCCCTGTCAAGCAGACGCAGCGTGCCACCAGGCAGCAGCCCACCTCCACGCTGCACCACGCCGCCACCGCAGCACGACAGCTAGTCACCAGGAGTGATCCTTGATCCCCGCCAGACCGCCACGCTACCGTCGGTAAGGTCGGGGTCCCCGCCTGCGTCCGCCGGTTGCCCCTCTCCCCGCCTCCGGTTCCTTGAGAGGTCGGGGGTCTCGAGAACACACAGCAACTGCTCCCTCCACTCCTCCTTCCCCCATTCAGCCCTTCCCCGCACCACTCCCAACTCGTAAACGCTGTGCGCCACCGCCGCTGCTCTTCCGGATCCGTCGTCCTTCCGCCGGCGCCGTGATGGACCCAAGCGATTCCAACTCCGCCGCAGGTACACCCATTGATCCCTTGATCCTCCTTCCTTCGCCGTTTGATCGAACTGGGTTGCTCCCCGGACCCCGGGACAGCTCGATCGCGCGACCGGGCTCCGTTGGATGCTCCCGGATTGTCCTTGTTTGCTTCACTTACTCTGCGTGTAGAGCTGGTCAGCGGGCGCTGAATTGCAGTGCCCTCCAGATGAGCTCGCGGTGTGCCGTTACTGGGACCGATGTGGCGCGTTTGCTCGTTGCTTGTGTAGATGTTTAATCACTATATAGGTTATTCGATTGTCAATCCAACCTCTTCCATTGGACGGCAGTTGCTGATATTTGTTTTGATCTGAGCTTAATGGCGTAATGTGAATTGTGAACACAAATTTGATGGGGATGGTCAAGCTCGTACTGTCATTCACTGGGGCCATTGGCAACCTGGCAACTTAATACAATCAGTCGTGAGCATAAAAGTGTGTTATCGTGCACTTTATATCATTGTTGCTTGGAGGCCAAAACCATGCTATTAGTTTGGCTTAACTGTGAATGCTTCAATATAGGAAATGGATCAAGCCAAAAGGTTTAGGGATGGTAGTGAAGCAATAAAATGGTGAGACTGAATGGCTAACTAGCTCGAGGAGCACCATATCCACACAGGCTCTGAATGGCTAATTAGCTTGAGATGCACCATTTCTGTGCAGGCTCAAGGATTTTTACTCATATATCTGACTAAGCTCGGATTTGTTCCCTTGTTCTACCCAAGATCCATTAATTAATGTACACACCCATATCTATGTCATACTTAGATGGAGAAATATCTTGTGCACATCCATATTTGAGGTGATATTTTGATATCTCAGTACATCAGACTTTGGATGAGGTTTATTTAGAGTACAGGGAGGGGAGGCCTCAAGTGATGGGTTTACAATAGATGCTTCCCAAATTATAATGTATCAGAGGACACGAGTTTGCTTACCAATTTGTGATGGGAAACATGTATTAGTTGAGCTAAGCACACGAACTGTGACCATACTGTATTATTCAGAGAGATGGGCATGATTAACGTAGTGTGCATAGCTTGCACACTCCTTTATCCATGGGGCTCAACATTGTTTCATTTCTTTCAATGTGAAGTGCATTGCAGCCTCTTATACTGACAGTTTGCATTTTGTTGCACATTATATCATTGGCCGAAAACCTTTTGCATACCGTAATTTCTGGTTCATGATGAGCAGTAGCTTTCTTACTAACAATGAGAGATTTTACGTTATTTTTAGATTGTGATTGACATCCATTAGATATAGTAACCTTGTTGCTTAAATCCCACTTTGGTCTTTGACTGTAGATCATTCTCCTTTGTGTCATCACAGGAGGAAAGACACAAAATGTTTCAGTACCGCCTGTTGAAGGTGTAGCTGGAGGAGGGACTAGCTATGGATGGGTGGATGGAGGCTTGCGGGGTACAAATCTTGGTGCTGGTGTGATTGATCCTACAAAAGTACACTCAGAAGATCTTTTGCACGTCTGGTCTATGCCCAGCACAGCAAATGTTAGCCAGCAAGAAGCACCTCGACCTCTAGAGAAAGTAAGTTGGATTACCTTTTGTTGGCACTGGTTTCTTGCTTCAGCATGTCACTAAAAGTATGTTATACTGTTCAATTGTTTCCCTGATATATGGAGTGTTTTCTTTCTCATTTCTCAAACACCCAAGAGAATTGTGCATCATTCCATTAAGAAAGAAGGGAATACACTGGGCAGCAAAAGAACCTCCCCACAACACACACACACCCAAGACACATCTGTTCTTTGTTCTTTTAAATGTGGTATTGCATTTTTCAACTGTGATCAGATTCATTGTGCTTTCAGTCGTGATTTGACTTATTACTATTTGATTATGTTACTTACCAAGATTTCCAAACTTTATATTTTCCTTTAGGTCAACCTTTTGGCAGCAAGAAATGAAAGGGAAAGTTTTCAAATTGCTTTACGCCCAAAGGTTTCGTGGGCAACTTCAGGTATTGCAGGGTCTGTGCAGATACAATGCACCGATCTCTGCTCCTCCTCAGGAGACAGGTTTGTTTGTTTAAAATTTAGAACCTCTCTATTAGGGAAGACCAGCATTCGCACAGTTCTATTCCGATGATTGTAACAGTGTTGTATCAGGTTAGTCGTTGGTCAGTCCATAACTTTGCGACGTGTGGTGCCTATCTTAGGTGTACCAGATGCTCTTGTTCCTATTGATCCACTCAGTCCTCAAGTAAATCTTCAACCAGGGTACTGTTTCTGTGCTTTGGAAATCTGACTTGTATCTACTTTTTTTCTCTTATAGTAGATTTGACTTTGCTTGTGCAGGGAGACAGCTGCAGTTTGGGTATCATTAAATGTTCCATGTGGGCAACCGCCTGGTTTATATGAGGGTGAAATATTCATTACTGCAGTTAAGACAGAATTAGAGTAAGCCTTTCCTTGCTCATTTCTATCCTGTTATCTTAGATGTAAAAAAAAGTTGCCTTTAGTCTTACAGAAAAAGAGCACCGAACAGATCCATCTTACTTGGCATGCTTGGGCAGAAAAACTAATTCTTATAATGCTGGCCCAAGTGTTCACATGTATGTTAGAACAAGAGATGCCATTAAACATATTATATATGAATATATCGGATATACTGTGGTGGAATGATTATTCATTAAGCGATATATAGCTTTTTTTTTAAAAAAATTTGATACTTGAGATGTCAAATTCAGAATCTTGAGTAACCTTGTAAGTTTACCTGCTTATATACCTTGCTACCTTTAAAAAAAATTGGAAGGATTCAGGTCAAGTAAGAATGAAACAATCACGTTACTGTAAAGAAATGGTTTCACACTGCTTTGATTTCTGGGTTATACTTTCTTACTGACCTAATTTCTGGTAGCAGTTCCAGAACAGAATCTCTACCAAAATTTGAAAAGTACAGGCTATATAGAGAATTAAGAAGTTGTCTTGACCTCATTGGACCCAGAGACTACTCGTCACCGGAGGAAATGGTATTCTGCTCTGATAATATATTCTAAAGGATTAACCATGTTATTCCTTTATTTTCTAATTGTGCTATAACATTTAGGTACAAAGACTAACATCAGCTTCTACTGCACTGAGGAGGGTGTTGGATAATCCAGCACTCCAGGATTGTCAAGAGAGTAATGGATTTGGAGACATGATGGATGAAGATGTTATGAACAATGTTTCAGTTCGCTTGAAGTTAAGCCTTACTGTTTGGGATTTCACTCTCCCAGTGACACCTTCTTTACCTGCTGTTTTTGGTGTATCCCGGCAATATTCCTTTTACTATGTTCCATTTCCATTTCTGTGCTGTGCAACTGTTATGGGACTGGGTTCAATGGGCTGCGCTTCATGGGCCTGCTTGGCCCAGCAGAACCTGCAGCAACAGAAGGCAGTGTTAGGTTGCTGCTGCCCTAGCCAAACCAGCAGCAGGGACATGTCTTGTGCCATAGGGCCAGCTGTACTGTTGCCTCTCTAAATCGACGTAGCCCCCTGCCCCCCCTCTCCTCCGACAACTTGTCTTAAGGCCTGTTCGTTTGATCCCAAAACCAAAGGGGTTTGAGAGGGATTAAATCTCCTACAAGTCAAAATCCCCCTCAATCCCCTTGATTTTGAGAACAACCGAACAAGGCCTTAAGATGTTTGGACATAAGTTTGGTTTATGAAAGGTTGCGATAGGATTTGGAAATTAGAGTTCAGTTTGGACTTTGGAAAGTTGAATTCATGAAAGAATGTATCCAACGTATGAGATTTCTATCTTTAAGTTTATTTGGTTGTCAATTTGGGGGTCCATATATGGTAAGGGGTGATGTAGGTCAATGGGTCAAGGAATGCAATACGCTATTTAAGAAAGGTTTTGACAAGGTGGGGACGAGATTGTTCCCACGTTCCCGGAACAGGAACAATGTGCTGCCGGGATGAGGAACATGGTATAGTTCCATGTCCCCAGTGACTATGGGTTCTCATCATCTCTTGACCCCTGCACCAGTCACCAACGCTTCTCCTGCGCATGTGTCTCACCCTCGCCGGTGAGAACAGGTGTGAAATCCTGTCCCTCATCCATGCACTATGTTCATCTACAACATCCACAATCGTTCCCCAACCAATCAGCCCCCTGGAAGCAACACATAATCAGAACCGCATATTAGAATTTATGATTGAATTGTCATATATTGCAGCTACTAACAATTCACATTTGAGCTGTGGACATATGGATGTGTTCTCCTTTGACTACATGTTAGATATCTGAAACTGTCATTGAAGATCGATTCTGTTTGGAGCATGGCACTGAAGGATGGTATAGTGCACTGGATCATCACTTTAGGTGGCTCCTCCAATATAGAATTAGTCCATTTTTCTGCAGATGGGGTGATAGCATGCGCATTCTAGCATACACATGCCCTTGGCCTGGTAATGCTTGAATTTTTTTTCTCACACAAAAGAATATACTGTTTCATTGAACTTATGTGATGCCATTTTCTACTCTTCTGTTCTTTTAGCTGATCATCCGAAGGCTAATGAATATTACTCTGACCCAAGATTAGCAGCATATGCTGTACCCTATGCACCTATCCTATCATGGTATCACTTAATCCTTCTAAATTTTATATCGTCTTATCTGATTCAGCTTGTTGCTTTAATTAATTTGTGCTCCTTGTTAACAGTACGGATGCTGCAAAAAATTCCCTGAGGAGAGAGGTTGAAATCTTAAAATCAAAGCCTCATTGGTCCAAAGCTTACTTTTATTTGTGGGATGAGGTGCGTTATTTTACCTTTTCTGCTATGTCCTGATTTCTGGGGACACCCATGCAGATGCATGGAGTAGGGAGAAACTTGTTGCAGTTATGGTTATGGTTTCCAATGTCCACTCTACTTGCAATCGAAGATATGGAGTTACTCCTTTGGGTTCTCCTTTTAGTTTTATTATGCGCGTCCAGTGGACATGCTCCTGCAACAGAAAGTTGAATTTTCACTCAGCTTGTAGTGTCCCTCCTGGTCCCATATCGACTTTCAGTTCCTAGTATGACCTGCTTAACTCAATCTTGGAACTAATATCATTGATAGCAATTAGCCATTGGAGGCTATGCCATTTCTCAATATATTTTTATTTTTTCTGAAAGAAAAGATATGATATATTTTACGTGTTTCTGTCTAATTTCGATGAATAAAATTATTTGCTATGTTTGTTGGTGTTCTGTTGCCATTAATTACATCCAGTCCTGTATAAAGTAGTATCTGTTATGTCATCTTAGATACAAATAGAAATGATGGTTAAGGAAGTACACAGCTCCAATTGAAACGTGCAACAGTCATTATGTATCACTTAAAAGTATTAATGGTGAAGGCAGCTTGTACGTGCAATGCCACTGCATAACTGACCATTGCTTTAGAGGTTTGATAATAAAGTCATTGAAGTTGCCAACATAATCACTTCTATTCCCCTAGTGTGTAATGATTATTGAAGGAAACTATGTTGTTAAATTCTTTGTCACTTCAACTATTGAAGACGAATTTCCCTACAGTAATCTTACAATTGTTTCCAATATTTCAGCCATTAAATGTGGAACAGTATGACATGATATGCAACATCTCTAATGAGCTACGGTCATATGCACCTGATGTGCGAATTTTGACAACTTACTATTGTGGTGAGTATAAGACAAAATCTGATGCCCTTTTTTCTTTCCTCGATGACGTTGCCTCTATTTAGAAACATACTTTTATACTTGGGTTGTGTTCACAACTGTACACCTTTTTATAACTAACTAGTTGCGCAGGATGTACAACTTCTTGCACGGTCACATACCAATGATAATGGGCTAGCCATCTTTGTTGTATTTAATTGGGCTTGGGTCAACCTTATTTTAATCAAATCAAACAAATTTCGATGTCTATAACAAATGCTACGTGCAAGGAAGGATTAATTCCGTATGAGAAATTGATTCGGCTTAAATGAGTGGCTATTGTGTGCACCTGTTGTGAGATTATGAAAGGCGGAAGGCGAGCTACATGCGCGTGCGCCGAATTGCGATGTGACATCGGACCCTGAATTTGGTCCATGGTGGTACATGTGTATATTGATGTGAGATTGCTAGAGTTTAGCTCTACCTTGGTTGTTGAGGGTGGGTTAGACCAACATATAAGGCTTCTGGAGTCAATACCACCATTCCCGTGTTAACCGTTTTACGTGAAGCGAAGATGAAAGCATAAGTGGGTTGGTAGTAGCGTGTGGTTCACTCAGTGTGCAGAGTGTGCATGGACTCGGGCGGCCAAGCCACGGCATAGTGGTGTGACACTAGTGAAGGTTTTGCAGGTTCAAACTGTAACCAACACCATGTTGGAGGGTGTCAGGGAAATATAGTCTACCTCTGCTGGGTGGACTCCTGCCATGGGTCTACTACCATCTGGGAAAGTGAGAAGGGGTGGGCGTGAGGGACAGATGGACAGGAGAGAGAGTGACAAACCAAGAGGGATGGGAGGAAGGGAGGAGAAGAATCGCCATGCTTTAATATTAGGTATATATAACATGAAGCTTAGCAGAGAAGCTATAATTTTTATTGCTAAGCTTACTGAATTGGGGCACGTTTTATTATTCTGTACTGTATATGATGGGAAAATGGATGCAGGGGATACAAGATTTGCACTTATGGCACAACAAATACTTTTTTTTTCTCAAACGACGCAGGAGAGCTGCATGCCATTTCATTAAGAAGAGAATAAAAACAACGGAGGAGAGGCTCTTCCCCCAAGAAACCAAAAACAGGACTCTTAGCGCCACACACTATGAAAAACAGATGACCACTGCCAAAAAAACGCCTAAGCAGCTATAGGTAGCAACCTACTAAGAAGCTGTTGCAGAGCCTTAGCTCCAGCCCAACACCACAACAAACACTCTTCAGAAACTACAGCTAAAACTCTTTGGACATGAGGACTAGCACCCTCAAAGACACAAGCATTCCTATGCTTCCACAACTCCCAAGCAACCAGAATGATAGGTGAATTCAGTCCTTTTCTTAGCTTTTTTCGGAACAGCCTTTTGTTTTGCACCACCAGCTAGAAAAACGAGAATCCTCTAGCTTTGGTGCAAGGGGAAGCAAGCCCAACACATGAAAGATAGCTGTCCAAACCTGCTTTGCGAAAACACAAGCAACCAGGGTATGCTGTATTGTTTCATCAGCTTGGTCGCATAGGGGACAAACAGACGGGTGAGGAAGTCCTCTTTTTGCAAGGCGGTCAGCTGTCCAACAGTGGCCCTTAATTGCCAACCAAATAAAAGAATTTGCAACAGAGAGGGGCCCAAGATTTCCATATCTGCTTCCAAGGTGCAAAACTTATGGTCCCAGTAAAAAAGCCCGTAGGCTGATTTGCTCAAATAAGAACCATACCCTGTAAGCCGCCACTGATGATGATCGGGGATGTCCTGTTGGAGATTAAAATCATCAACCAAATCTCAGATTTGCAGGTACTCCACCAGCACCTCTACTGTTAGAGCCCCCTTGATGTCTGACACCCATCTTCTGTTATGCAAAGCTTGAGTCACCGTTCGTTGCTTCACTGCTCTCTTGGGAATGATCTGAATCAGCTTGGGAGCATATTCAGCTATTGTCTTGCCATGGGGCCAACAGTCTGACCAGAACTTGGTTGAAGCACCATTGCCCACCATGGTTTGCACAGCAACTTTAAATAAGGCCTGAGGATTGCATGGAACCTGAACTGGCAGTCCAGCCCAAAGACGTTCCTCGTCAATCTTCTGTGCCCACAGCCACCTTATACGAAGAGACCAACCCAGAACTTCAAGATTATGGATACCTAACCCACCATAATGAATAGGCTGCTGAACTTTCTCCTATGAAACTAAACAGTTGCCTCCATTAGCCTTCCTTGGCCTTTCCACAGAAAGCAGCACAACAAATACTTGTTAGAGCATATGTTTTGTTTTGCTTTTATTTATGTTTATGAAATAGACATATGTTTATTTGCCTGAGGCGAAAATATTCTGTCACTTTCCTGGTGCATTGTTAGTGTTAAGTTCTGGAAATTTAGATGATTATGCCTATAAAAGACATTGCGGTTGACAAGTCACGAATTTCTTCTAGCATATAAAGATACATTTTCTTATAATTTCAATGATCTGTGTAGGCCCAAGTGGCTCTGAACTGGCTCCCTCTACATTTGAAGCTTTTGTGAAAGTTCCAAATGTTCTGCGTCCGCACACGCAAATCTTTTGCACAAGGTATCCGCTGCAGCTGGCTTATTTTTGTATTCTACTAGTTTGCTAAATTTTGTGGGGGGTGACATTGAAGGCTGAACATGCTCAGGCACGGTCGTGAAAAAAGACATTGAAGGCTCATGCATATGTGTAGCCACAACATGATATGGAGATGTTTTTCTTAATATGTTGCACCCTTTATTCAATTTCACTTGGCTAATATACTTGTGATAAACTGTTTCATGGTTATGGCACTTAGATTCTACTAACATAACAAATAAGATTCAGACTTCAGAGTGTTAATGTTTTATAATATCTTGCACTATTGCCTTATGAATCTGGGGTGAGGACCCTGGCTTATGTATCAATTGGGCAAGGTCTCGAGAATTCATGTTAACCGTTACAAAAATTTAGGCCAAAATAGATTGAACCCTTAACCCGTGTCAGAAAAAAACAAAATCCCCCTACTCACAAGGCACTGGCATTATGATTACATAGCAATAGATTGAACCCTTAACCCGTGTCAGAAAAAAACAAAATCCCCCTACTCACAAGGCACTGGCATTATGATTACATAGCACTGACAATCAGGTGTCACTGCATGAATGTTAGATATGTGTCAGAGGCTAGTAGAAGCACTGGTGGCTTGGCGCAAACTAATGATAATGTTACAATACATCAATCTCGGCCAATAAGCCACCTCGGTTATTGATCTGTTGTCTTCTTATACAGTGAATGGGTTCTTGGCACAAGAGAAGACCTAGTGAAGGATATTGTTGCTGAATTACGGCCTGATCTTGGTGAGGTAAGAAGATTCTATTCCTCCAAAATAGTAAATTCATAAACCATGGCCTTTTTAGTTTCATTTTAGTCCATTCTCAGAGAGGGTCACGTTATTTGTTTTTCCAACTAGCATTGATTCTAACAGTATAAAATCAAGTAAGGTAATTGGATGAGAGCACCCACTTTCATACATTTATGAAATATTTTAATGAACAATTCCTTGTCACATTTTACTGTTCTTTTTTCTTTTGTTTTTTCTATTGTCATCTGGTGCTCTGACACCGGCCCTTTGTTTCTAGTATTTTGTTATGTATTGTTGCTGGCTGTGGTCAGAGACCAAGATTTCTTCTCTTGTGATTGAATGGTTTCTTCATGTTTTATGAGATCCTAAAGCAATGATGTTATGAGGAGTTTGGGGGAATTTCTTTTCTGTTGAGTGCATGCAGGACTATGCATAGTCTTTGTATGGTTATGTTACCTATGTACTGTTATCTTTATTTTAGGTACTGCAGTCTGCATTGAAGCATGCTTCCTGTTTCCAGATTGTGCTACAGCCTACTCTTTCTAAACTCAACTGTCCCAGTCAATATTTTGTTTTTTCTCATTTATCTCGAACTTTCATTTACCATTCAAGCATGGAGTTCTCTGTTATCTTTAAAATTTATATCTTGATGGAATTATCTGGATTCTATTAGGAGTGGTGGACATATGTTTGTATGGGCCCTTCTGATCCTCAACCAAACTGGCATATTGGGATGCGTGGAACCCAGCACCGGGCAGTGATGTGGAGAGTGTGGAAGGAAGGTGGGACAGGATTCCTTTATTGGGGTACCAACTGCTATGAGAAGGCTATGATCCCAAGTGCTGAGGTATACTGTGGGGCATGCAAAGTGTTTTTGAATATTTACCAACTGCTTATTGTCTTATTTTATACGGTTATATACCTGTCCCCTGTTGCAAGACTTGCAGTATATACTGGTAGTCGTGATTTAGTCTTTGTTTTGAAAGATGTTAAAACTACAGAGAAGTATTAGGTCATGTGACATTGGATTGTTGAAGTCTTGCATATCCAAGTGTCTGAGTGTATGACTGTAAGGCTGTAAGCAAGTAAGATGCTGTAGGGGTGCTCATGCTGCTTCTGTACATCTAGAAAAAGTAAGACTAGATTTGAATAGACTAACTGTTCGTGCTACAGTCATATGCTAATGGCACTTCTCTTTTACTTCAACACTGAGACAAACTCTAGCAAATTTGCAAGTGACTAGTGATTCTTGTTTTATATATTAGCATTCTGGTGATACAACTCAGTTTAAAAGTTTAACTCTAGTCTTTGTTTGGTAATATATTTTGGGTTTTAGTTTACATTGAGATTGCCCGTTCGGTTGGTCAGGTCCCAGCTTGTTCCAGCTTGTTTCAGCTTGTTTCAGCTTATTCTCTCTCACATAATACTATTGAATCATCCAAAATCATCCAAAATGGGCCTAAACCTGACCAGCCGAACGGGGGTTAATGTTTGAGCAAACCATTTTGTATTCTTATTCTAGAAATCATGGTACATTGTTGTTCTGACTGAGCTCAGCTGTACATTTGCAAGCGTCGACTATTGCTTCATTTCTGATTCTCAAACTTGGCGGTGCCACAGATCTGTTTCCGACGTGGCCTTCCTCCTGGCGACGGTGTCCTGTTTTACCCTGGTGAAGTGTTTTCTTCGTCACATGAACCAGTTGCTTCCACCCGGCTAGAGCGCATTCTCAGTGGCATGCAGGTGATAATTTTTTGTTGATTATTTTTCTTAACAAATCAAGCTTTTGAGCAATGGAGTTAGAAATATTCAGATTGAAAGTATTTGCTGAGAACTACTCCTATATCTGAACTAGACTGTGTCCTACCAAGGCTTTGTCATTCAAGGGTTATACTTCTCAGAAGAATGTTAAGAACCAACCCCACTTTTTCAATTGATTTCCATTGGAAATATGAAACACTATGAGACTGGTCGATGTTGTCCTGTGCTGACGGCTGTTTCTTGTTGCTTTTCAACGCAGGACATCGAATACCTGAAGCTTTATTCTTCACGGTATGGAAGGGAGGAAGGCCTGGCCCTTATGGAGAAGACTGGCATGTATCTTGGCCCGGATCGATATACGCTGGATCATGGACCGGTAGATGTGATGCGGGGTGAGGTATACCGCACCTGCAGGTCTTAGTGCCATGGCTGCCAAATGTTCATGCCCTTTCAGTTTAGGGCCTTTTGTTGTATATATATGGCTGTGTATTATGTTATCTATGTAGCGATCTAATCTACCCTTGATGATCGATCAACTCATCAAACCTGGACTAAACTAGTCCTGGTGCATTGCATGAAGTCGGGAGAAAAAACACAAGATGATGTGGTCCAGAGATAGAGCAGCCCAGGTCTGGCCCTGTTACAAGGCCCAGATACCTACCGGAAGTGGGCCCTATCTGCTGCAACAGTATTGACAGATGACACGAGATTGGCATTCCCCTCCTCTCGATTCCCAGCCGTCGTTCCTGTGTCGGTGAGTCGCGTCGCGTGCGCTTAAAGCTTTCAATCCCGCCCTAGCCTACCCATGGAAAAGAGCTGAAGCTGAAATATTCTCCTGTTAGCTGTTACCTTCCGTTTCCTTTCTGCAATTTGCAGCGCAGGTTACACCCTCGAAACGAAAGGCGCATTCAATCGCGTTCCTGCCGTGACGACGATTCCCGTCTCGAGACGGACGCTGACGCTGCCGCCGCCGCCGCGGTGCCCCGTATCTTTCGAGGTCGGTAGCGCCATGGCCCGACGCGGAGAGCTCCGGACCCAGACCACCGGACCGGGAGCCGTTTCAGGCCCCGTTTTGTTAATAATCTACGTTATCCCCGGGGCGTCATCACATTCACAGGTAGTAACATAATAAGCTTCCAAAAACAGGGTGGTTTCTGGCTTTCGGCACGGGCGCGCCGTCGCTGTCGCCCATCCACCCACGACGATTTCCCCCAAACATGTCCGTCCGATTAATATCTATCTATATATATACCCACCCATGTGAACCGAGGGAGAGAACACACAAACGCTTGCATCGAGGTCGTTGTCACGGGTTCCACAGAAGCCATCCCTGGAGAGTGAGCAAGTGTCGTTATTTGTCACTTGTCGCCTTCGTCGTCCAGCTCCAGCCACACCGGACCCCCTTGTGTTCCAAGGAGATAAAAGGCTGGCAGAACAATCCTCCTGTCTACCCTTGGGACGGGCTTGGGGTAAGAAAGAAAGAAAAAAGAAGAAAGATCTTTTCCATGTCGCGAAAATTTTCATCCAGATGTGTGGTGCTGTTGGGCAAGTTGCGCCGGCATGTCTGGCGGACAACACTGTTGCATTATTAAAGGGGTTGCTGTTGCTGTTGCTGTTGTTGTTGCAATAGTCGATGGGCCGTTTCCGCGACATTTATCAGCACGGATTTTATTTCATTTTATATTCCATATTTCTTTATTACCAATTTAGGTCCTGTTTGTTTAGCTAAAATTCTACTTTAACAGTATTTTTCAGTGAATGAACATTGTTTTTCTCTCACAACATTTCAGCAAAAGCATCAGTATAATTTGTGAGGCAGAGAAAACCGAGTAGACCGGAGCGAGTGCTGGCCATGGGCCAATCTCTGATCGCCTGATCTCATCCAACAGCACCCGTGCTCTGACCGGTAGGACCGTAGGAGAGCGGGGTGAGCCGAGCCGTCTTCACAAGTGCAAGTGCAGTGCAGTACTCCGTGCTCCCGTTGCTCTCGTCTCATCTGCGGTTACTGTGCGCTGGGCCCGGGTTTTTCCGTCAAATCGGTTGCCCTCGTCCGGCCGAACTGACGTGGAGAGCCTATCTGAGCTTCTCACAGCTGCAAGATTCTCGCTTCACCCTCCCCTCCAGCTCGCTCGCCTGCTATTCTGGAACCGGAAAGAATAAATCATAGCAGTCCACGAATCCGGGTGCAGTTTGTATCAGTGAAATGATTCGCTTATCTTCGCTATACTACAAAGTACAGTGCATAGCTTAGCTCACTCTGCCGAGCCAACACGTAGCTTAACGAACAATCATGGGATTCGGCTGCCTGAAAATGACCCTCCTCTCATCTCCAGCCTCGTCGTTTGTTGATTTTAGCCAGAGCTTATCAGTCATATTATAGTATTTTTCTCTCACGACGAACCAGCACCAGCCGAGCTTATCAGCCCAGAAAACCGAGTTGAACACGCTGCTCATCTCGTCCACGGCCACGGGGCACGACGATCGATTCTACTTAGGGCGCATTTACGACTCTGGCCCGGAGGCCCGGCTGCGCCCGTGGGCTGCAACTTGCCATGTTTGTGGTCGTGGCCCACGAGCGAGCCTGGCTTCCTAGAGCCAAAAACGCCCTCTCCGCCCGGTCCTCTGGAAACGACCAAAACCCTCGTTTCTTTGGAGCCGAGCTCGTGGCGGCGCACGCAGGCGATTTTGGGCGGCGGCGGGGTGGCTCGCGCGGGCTCTGGCGGAAGGGGAAACTTCTTCGCGCGCGTCCCCGCTCCCCGCTCCCGCTCTGGCCGCCGCGCGCAAAGAGAAATGGCGGCGATTTCGCCGGCCTTTATATACGGGTTCCCACTCTCCATTCTCTCATTCTTCCACTCGGTGCTTGTTCTTCCACCTCCCTCGTGAGAGACCGGCGGTGAGTGGTGGTGCATGGCGGCGACGGCGACCTCCGGCTGGTTGTGGGTTCGGTCACCGGCGCCGAGGTTCTTCGCCGCGTCCCCTCTGGGCTCTGCTGGGACTCCGTGGCGGCAGTGTTCCTCTTCTTCTCCGTCCGCATCTGCTTCGTCTTCTTCTCGATCTGCATCCTCTACTTCCAGATCTGCCTCCTCTCCGTTGTTTGGACCCCGAGCCAAGGTGAAATCGACCCCAATCTTCTTTTTTGTGGTGCTTCTTGAAGTTCTTAGGGTTTCTTGTTCGTTGTTGTTCATGATATGTTAGGGTTTCATACTTGTTATAACTGCTTCATGCTCCTATTAGGGTTACTTGTACCTTGCTGTTCTTGATCTGTTGGGATCATGATCTGTTAGGGTTGTTGATCTGTTTCAGATTAGTATTGTACCTTGCTGTTCATAACTGTTTGATGCAGTTGTTAGTGTTACTTGTACCTTGCTGTTCTTGATCTGTTAGGGATGTTGATTTGTTTCTGATTACTATTGCTCTGAGTTTTTTGTTCCATCATTGGTCGATGATGTTGTCCAAATTTAGCACTGGGAGGCATCACATACAAGATGCAGCCGTGCTTTTGTTCATATGCATTCATTTCACATTCATGTTGATGCCTAGCAAGGTACATTAAGCTAAAATCATGTTATATTTTTACATGCTTGTAGATGAATCTGTCTTTGAGCCGTGACATGCTGTGTAGGAAGGCAGCTGCCTTGACTGTTCTTATGGTTTCCTTTGTATCCACTAGGCTGAAAAGGAAAACCCCTGAACATGAAACCCCACTGCCTGATCCTATAGCACTGGCCCTGATTAGGGATGAAAATGAACAGCACAGACGGAGAACACTGAGAATGATATACAACTCCACTGATTCAGAGTGTATTTCTATGATTAGGATGAAGAGAGCTGCTTTTTTTAAGTTAGTAAGAACTTTTAGAGAGAGGAGTCTTGTCACTGATAGGGAGGGGGTGTCAATAGAAGAGCAGGTTGCCATATTTTTACATGTAGTAGGGCACAACCAAAGATTTAGGGTTGTCCACCAGTCTTTTAGGAGGTCCATCCAAACTGTCCACGAGCACTTCCATCAGGTGTTGTATGCTGTGGGTGAGCTTAGGAATGAAATGATAAAGCCAGTTAGCACTACCACTTACCCAAAGATTCTTGGAAGCCATACATGGAATCCATATTTTAAGGTAATTGTATATCCTGGGTTCATTAGTTACATTAGACCTGTTGCAATGATTTGGGAGGCACTTATTGTTGCCCTTGGCTGTTGGGCTGAACTTGGTATTGTAAGAAACTTATTTGTAGCCTCTATTTTGATGGTTACCTTATTCTTGTTTTGATGATTTTGTTGTTGTGCTTTGTTCTTTATTTGCCTATCCTTTCATTCTACACTTATGCTCAGTTGTACTCCATAGCAACAACATCCTCTTATGATGGCTGATGGCAGTGAGTGCAACTGATCAAAAGGTCTGTATGGCAGTGAGTGCAACTGTTGTTTATTTGCCTCTTTATTTGGTTCTTACAATTCTTGGTAGCCACCAATGACTAAACAAGGAAAAAAACCACCAAACTACTAAGCTGAGGCTAATTTTTTTATCAAGTGGCTGATGATGTTCACCATCATTCAAACTGAATGGTCGACTGAGGCATGTCATTCAGACCACTTACATGTTCTACATTTGGTTGGTTTCAGAGAATGCCTCCTTGCTATGTGGTCTTTAAAGGAAAGAAACCTGTGATTTATTTTACATGGTATAAGTGTGCTAAGCAAGTGTTTAGGGAAGAAGGGGCTATCTATCAGAAGTACAACAACTATGATGATGCTCTTAGAGATTTTAATGCAAGGGTACCTCAAGAACCCTTGTTGTTACCAATTGATGGGTGACAGCTCAAGGTTCTGAAATATATCCTCATTCACCTGGGCTGCAAGGCTGTTGCAAAAATGTTGTCATCTTGATCTTGTTTATGGTTGTAGTTGGTCTGTCACTCAAGCTGTTCATGTGCCACAACTGTTGTTTTAATTAGGCCGATGATGACACAATAGGATGACTGCATTAGCTGGCTACATGCCACTTTGATTCATATACTCTCTTTTTCTGTTAACTTGTTGCCCTTCTCGGCTTGCCAAACTACTTAATTCTGCTACTGTTCTTAATTTGCTTCTTTGATTATGCAATGTAGCCGGTAATGTATGTGTTGATTAAATGGAATTAGTCTGAGGCCTATGTATTTTGTACATTTTCATTCAAAGTGTTTGCTTCTCTATTGATCATGTTGTTCTTCCTTCTCTTTGGGCGTGCCGAAAGCACAAAGAAATTGGCAAACACAATCTGTGTTTCGGCGCTTGGTGGCGGTTGGTGTTTGAGCCCGCTAAGTATTGGGTCACAAACACCAAACTTTCGCTGGCCGGATCGATTCCAGACAGTGTGCAAAACAAATTGCGTTGCGGTAGTTGGGGCAGGCCTGCCCACGCCTAGTCCGTTTTGGCTGGCTAGGCCGTGCTGGTCCAGGTGCGCAAACGCGCCCTGAATCATTGGAGTGGCGCATTTGCTCCACTTGTCTCGTCCTGCTTGCTTGGACGTATGCATTTATTCGCTCCTTTTTGTTGCGGAACTGAAAAACTTTTTCTCCGGTGAATAGCTAGGATCGATAATTCATTCACCGGTTAAATCAGCAGATTACCACAGTGAGGTCGATCGCCTGCCTTCGTCCGTTCGTTTGGTCTTGTTTGGCTGATAAATCATAACTGAAAATAAGATTGACTGATTTGACGTGAGAGAAAAATACTATTTGTTAGCTGAAAAAGTATGGTTTATAAAGCAAACAAGCCCAAACGAACGGGGTGCTTATCTCCAGCTCTGGCTCTTGGCTTGCTGCGATAATACTGGCTGCCGTTTATGCACTGCTTTGGTGGCGATTGATCACTGATGATGGACTTCACTGTGTGTGGGCTTTTAGGCTGTGTTTAGTTCGCGAAATGAAAATTTTTGGATGTCACGTTGGATATTAATAAAAAAACTAAATACATAGCTCGTCTGGAAACTACGAGACGAATTTATTAAGCCTAATTAGTCCATCATTAGCGCATATTAGTTACTATAACACTTATGGCTAATTATGGTCTAATTAGTCTTAAAATATTCGTCTTGCGATTTCTAACCAAACTGTGTAATTAGTTTTTTTTTTCTATATTTAATACTCTATATATATACTGTAAGATTCGATACGATAGTTTGGGATGAAAATTTTTAGAAACTGAACCAAACCCAAACATTCAGGTGGGAACCTTTTCAGCCAGCCAAGCCATTCCCGATTTCCCATCCCACGGCCGCGTGCGTCGTAAATGGCAATGCCAAATGCAGCACGCAACACAGGGGGCCTGGAAACCTTTTTGTGGAGCGGACGTGGACCACAAAGCCGAATGAGTAGGAGTACCTGTGACTCATCAGTGTGACTGTGAGTGAGAGCTGAAACGGAGGAAAAACAGAGACCATGCAACCATGCAAATAGACGACGACGACCACTACTACTAGACATGGACCGGATGGAGGAGTGACCTTTAACACTTATGCTGAGATTTGGCTTATAACGATGTTTATTTGTTGTGAGATAAAAATACACTATTTGTTAGGTTGAAAAATAGTTCAAGTGAATATAGTGGAAATTTAGCTTATGCTGATTTATTGCGAGAGAAAAATATTGTTTGTTAGTTAAAAAGTAATTCAAGCGAACATGGTGTTAATTTTAGTTTACAGCTGGTTTGTTTGTTTTATTACTAGTTATTACAAGTAATTCACGATGTCGGTACTGCGTATTCCCAATAAAGAAAGATCGCAAATGGAATGCTCCACGTTTGTTGTGATTTGAAATGAAAAGGAGTGAACGGTGCGTGGGCATGTATTTTATGCGCTCGTTTGTCACAATGCACCACTCATCTGCCGCCTACGAGTGGTAGGAAAGCTAGTGAAAGGGTAATGGAAGAGGCTAGCTTCCTACCGTAGCATAGCCATTTGTAAAAGGGGCATAGCAGGTAACGGAACATACGATCTTGTTAAAGAAATATGTGCTGTCTCCGTCTGCAATTTTAGGTCTTGTCAAAGTCAAACTATCTTGACTAAGTTTATATAAAATATTATTAACATATACGACTCTGAGTAGATATACTATAAAATATATACTTCACGATAAGCATTAAATGTTTTTATATAAATCGTCTAAGTCAAACTATCTTTAATTTGACTAAATTTATATAAAATATTATTAATGTATATGACTCTAATAGATATGCTATAAAATATATACTTCATTGTGAATTTAATGATACTTATTTAATATGATAAGTATTATTGTATTAATATCTTTTTATATAAATTGTCCAACATAGTACTATTCTAGCTCTAGAAAATTGCATTATTTTAAAGACAGATAGAGTACCCCTTTTCTCACTACATATCACATCTTCTTCTGCAAGATGGGAGCAACATTCTGTTCACCGACAAAACCATTTTTTAGCAGAAGCTGAGTCAGCAGGACCGTTTCTTAGTGGAAGCCGATAGAACCATCTGAAAGTGAAGGTCGATTATTTTTAGTTTTCTGTTTTGTGATATAATGTAGTAAAAGACATCGGGTTAGCATGTTCCACAACAAGGAGTCTAACCAATTATGTTACGATACAAAGTTTTAGACCATGGGTTGGGAGAATTACTTCTAAATCTTCATAGGATGATGTCAAAAGGAAAGCAAAATTACAAAAAGGATGGCTCCGATGGTGTCGGAGAAGGAAAGAGTGTCTGGACGTCGAACCATTAACTATTTGGCAAATGAAATTGACACACGTTAGAAAACGACGGAGAAAACCTTATCAGGTACGTAGTGTGTACCCTAGCTAGCAGTAGCAGGTATACATAAGTACTCCCAAAAGGAACGCATCAAATCCTGGCCTAACCATGTGATCGGGACCGTCTACATTTGCTCTCTTGGGAAAAAGTAACACAAAAGGGAGGGAGGGAGGGCGAAGCGGTCAGAAAACCCACACGCCACCATCGCAGCGTTCCTTGAGCAGCACTCCCCGTTCCGTGCACAGCGGCAGACAGATCCCAAGCAGAACGCAGCAGCCGGGGGTCTCGCGGTGCCTTGCAACGGCAGCTTAAAGTCGTGATATTCGCACGAAACCCACGGTAAAATAGCATAGCCATCCGAAGACAGCACACAGCAGCGCTAACGCGCGTAGCAACCGCAAGCAACGCGACGAGGCTGCCTGGCCGGTTCACGAGCTGCTATCTATCCCTCTGCACCGTCAGTCAACGACCCGCGCAGGCGCAGGCCCGCACGACAAGTCAGCCAGGCCATGCCAGGGCAGCAGCCCAGACCCAGGCTGCCTGGCTATGGCCTGGCGAGCACTGAAATCAAATCGCTGCTGACTTTTCCCGATCCCATCTCGTATCTTCCGCTCGCTGGTAGGAGGAGTTCGCACTGTAGCCTGCTACACACGCACGCACCGGCAGATGCACAGGCACAGGCACAGATGATCATGGACTAGCAGCCTTTTCGTTTGGCTTAGGCTTGTCATAAACGATCGTAAATTTCTAGTCGAATAATATTTTTCTCTCATACAAACCAGCCAACCGTATTTTTTCACAAATCAGCAACGAAACGAACTAGCCAACCGAACAGACTGTAGGATGGAGGGAGGGTGGCTGGGCCAGGGCAGCAGCCAGCAAAGCCAGCGATCCTTGAAAAAAAAACCCAGCAAAGCCAGCCAGCGTCGCGCCGGGGGGCAGCCGGGTCAGGGCGGCCAGGCTTTCCCGGCTTCTATCTCCAACCACAACAACCAAAATACAAGATCTATTTATCATTTGAATAGTGCTACAGACAAAATGTTCAATACTTAGGCCCCGTTTAGTTCCGAAAATTTTTGGCTTTTGGTTACTGTAACACTTTCGTTTTTATTTGGCAAAAATTGTCCAATTATGGACTATTTAGGCTTAAAAGATTCGTCTCACGATTTCTCGGCTAACTGTGTAATTAGTTTTTTATCTACATTTAGTACTCCATGCATGTACCGCAAGATTTGATGTGACGGGGAATCTTGAAAATTTTTGGTTTTTGGCTTGGAACTAAACGGGGCCTTATTCGACATCTTCTTCAACAACAAGACATAAAAGAGAATTCTTTCTACAAATGGGTTTTCAGGAGAGAGAATGCCCATATTTAGGTTGTACCTCTCAGACCACCTAAAATAGATCTCTCATATAGATACTCTGTTGAAGAATAATTTTAGATCTCTTGCTATTCATCTTGAATTTGGGTGCATGTAAGTTCCTTTGGAGACAGTCTTATTATCAATTGCGCGGATCCACGCGCGGCCGCGATCCCATACCGCCCCTCCTGTGTCCAGGTTAACAGCATCAACTTTTGGTGTCCGTTGCCTTGCCCTGGCTTGGCTTTGCCCACTTGACTTGACCACCGCCCACCACTCATCGCCATCCAACAAGCATCTCACTCACTCACTCACTCACTCACTCACTCACACGTGACACGGTCACACTTTACCGGACGGACCAAAGCAGAAGGCAGTAGTAGCCACTCTGCTCTGCTCTGCCGGTGGTGCCCGGCGAAACGGCGTCGTCGGCGTGGCCGTGGCCGTGGCCGCGTGACCGTGAGCCGAGACCCGCTCCCTGATCTCTGAAGCAAAGCCAGGCGGAGTGGCGGACCAGGCCAATCGATAGATAGAGCAGAAAGGCAAGGGAGGGCAGTCGCAGCAGTAATAAAAACCGCGGCGGGGGCGAGGGCGGGTTGGGTTTGGATCGGCCTGGGCTGGCCTCCTCGGCAGTCGGTGACATTTCGGCTTGGCGCGGTGGCGTGCGACGCGACGGGAGCCTGGCTGGCTGGCCCTTCTGCGGCTGCCTCTGTGAGTGCGCGTACAGCCTACTGCAGCGGCCGCCCCAGCCCCCACCCCACGCCCCCGCGCGCCGGGCCTGTCTGTCGTCTCGTCGTCTCAACGTCTCGTCCCCCCGATGGCCGATGCGGTGCCCTCTCTCTGACTCCCTCCCACTCGGCCACTCCCACCACCTCCACGGCTCCACCCCGTCTCGCTACGCTCTCGCTCTCTCCCTCCCCAATAGAAAAGCAAGCCGCAAAAATAATCGCCAAAGCCCAAAAGAGATAGGGAGAGACGCGACGCGAGGGGAGAGGAGGAGGAAAAGGCAGAGCAGAGAGAGAAAAGAAAAGAAAAAAAATCCCCGTCCACCGCCCGCCCGCCGCGCCGCCGCGCGCTGCACAGAGACGGACGGACTCCCCCCCGAGCGCTGCCGGATTCAGTCAGTGAGGCGGGGCCAGGGGCTGGGACGGAGCGGGCGACAGATCGAGCGCCGGCGATGCACCCGACGAACCTGGAGGCGGGGCCCGAGCAGGAGGCGCCGGCGGAGGCGGTGCCCTTGGCGGCTGCGGCGCCGGCTCCGGTCAAGAAGAAGCGGAACCTGCCCGGGACGCCAGGTCTGTGCCTGCCCACCCGCGGTTGCTTTGGGGTTGGTGTGCGTGCGTGCGTACTACTGCTACTACCTCCGCGCCAGCCCGCGTGCGTGCTCTGACGGTTTGCTTGCTTGCTTGACCGCCGCTGCCCGTCCGCGGCCGCAGATCCGGACGCCGAGGTGATCGCGCTCTCGCCGGGGACGCTGCTGGCCACGAACCGCTTCGTGTGCGAGGTGTGCGGCAAGGGCTTCCAGCGGGACCAGAACCTGCAGCTGCACCGCCGAGGCCACAACCTCCCCTGGCGGCTGCGGCAGCGCGGGCCGGGCGCGGCCCCGCCGCGCCGCCGGGTGTACGTGTGCCCCGAGCCAGGCTGCGTGCACCACTCCCCGGCGCGAGCCCTCGGGGACCTCACCGGGATCAAGAAGCACTTCTGCCGAAAGCATGGGGAGAAGCTCTGGGCGTGCCCGCGCTGCGGCAAGCGCTACGCCGTGCAGGCTGACCTCAAGGCGCACGCCAAGACCTGCGGCACCCGCGAGTACCGCTGCGACTGCGGCACGCTCTTCACCAGGTGCGTCAGCGTGATTGCTTGCTTGCTTGCTTGCTTGCTTCTTCTTCTTCTTCTTCTCTTCTTCCTCCTCTTCAGCCCCCGATGCGGAAGGAAGAAAAAAAAACTTGCGTTTTTCCTCGTTTGATTTGATTCATCGGATGCTGTGCTTGCTTGCTTCAGACGGGACAGCTTCGTGACGCATCGCGCCTTCTGCGGCGCTCTCGGGGAGGAGACCTGCAGGGTGCTGGCGCCACCGGCGCCGCCATCGCCTCGGCCGCCTGATTTGGAGGCTGAGGAGAATGTTGACAAGGACATCGACAAGGGGGAGGAGGACAATGAGGACTCTGCCGTGGCCGAGGTGGAGGAGCCTCAGCGTGTGGAGGTGGTGCCAGAGGAGCCACAGCGCATTCCATCTCCACCTCCATTGCCACAGGAGCCACCGCGCCGCCCGTCTCCACCTCCATTGCCACAGGAACCACCGCGCCCCCCGGCTCCACCTCCATTGCCAAAGGAGCCACCGCCCCGGCTGTCCCCACCTCCTTTGCCAAAGGAGCCACCGCGCCTGCTGTCCCCACCTCCGTTGCCAAAGGAGTCACCACGCCGTCCATCTCCACCGCCATTGCCAAAGGAGCCACAGCGGCTTCCATTTCCACTGGAGCTGCAGCCAGTTGTGGCATTGGTGCCAAATTTGGATGGTACGCTCCTTTTGCAATCTGTTCGTGTGCTTGTCTTATTGCCCATACATAGATATGATGAGACTTAATGCAGGTTCTTGCTCTTTGAGTCAATCTTACCATGTAATAAGAAAGCAATGCATGCATCTTGGCTTTTTCCCCAATTTGGTTGGCCAGTTGGTCAATTAGCTCAATAGGGATGACTGACTTGTTCTTCCTTGTTTTGTTTTATACCTGTTGTAGAGCCAGAGGTGGTTGCTGTGCCAACTGTGACTGCCAAATTAGAGGATGAAGCCGATCAAGATGAAGATACCTGTTTCCAGGAAGCAGATCAGTACAAGGATGCTGAGCTTGAGGTCTCCAATCTGCTGGACAAGGACACCCCAATGCTTCCTTGCTTCCTCCCCTCTCCCTCAGAAGCCATTGGCACTGATGGAAGCAGCACAACCTGCGGTGCAGGTGGCAGCGTTTCCAATTCCATTGCGCCATCGACAACCACCAACACTTTCGCTGGTCTGTTTGCGTCAGCTACAACAAGCACCACTTCCCAGAGCAGATCTCTGCGCGATCTCATTGGTGTCGATCCCACCTTCCTTTGCCTTGCAATTGGATCACCCTCGATGTTCCCGCAGACGAGTGCAAGCAATTCAGGCACCTTCGCTCCGCCTCCAGCGCCACACATGTCCGCAACAGCGCTCCTGCAGAAGGCAACAGAGGCTGGAGCCACGCAGTCAAGCTCATCCTTCTTGAAGGAGTTCGGGCTTGCCTCTTCCTCTTCGTCATCACCTCCATCAAAGCAGCTACCACAAGGAAGGATCGCTGATATCGGTGCGGATCCATGGCAGCACCGGAGGAACCAGCAAATGGAGATGGAGCGTCACCAGAGTCATCAACGGAGGGAGATGGAGTCCAGTTCACAACCATGGCACCCCCGTGGTACCCAGCAAATGGAGATGGAGCTCCACCACCGGAATCATCAACAAAGGGAGCTGGAGTCCAGTTCGCAACAATGGCACCACCACCGGAATCATCAACAGAGGGAGATGGAGTCCAGTTCGCAACAATGGCACCACCACCAGAATGTCCAGCAGATGATGGGGTTGGAGAGCTACCGGAGTAATCAGCAAATGCAGATGGAATCCGGTTCGCAACGATGGCTGCACCACAGGAGCTATCAGCAGCAAATGGAGATGGATTCCAGTTTGCAACGGTGGCCGCACCACAGGAGCAACCAGCAGCAAATGGAGAGGGAGTCCAGGGCGATGCTATCTGGGGGTCTCGGCCTTGGCCTTGCATACGAAAGTGGAAACTCAGGTTTGCCGGACCTGATGATGGGACCATCACCACTGTTCGGTCCTAAGCCTGCTGCAACGCTGGACTTCCTTGGGCTTGGCATCGGAGGGACCATGGGCGGCTCCACGGTTGCCAACCGTGGCCTCCCGGCATTGATGATTGGAGGAGAGCTGGACATGGGGTCTTCGGCACAGGTGCCTGCGCCATGGGAGGACGCCAAGAGGAAGACCAACAACGGCCGCACGATCCTGTGAGGTTCTCTCCTTTTTTTTTGTTTGGTTGGTAACCTTAGAGGAGTTCCGTGCCTCGGCTTGCCCATCATTCTTTCAGCCGCCCGCAGCTGTTGCTTTTGGTGGAGCTAGAAGCTCTGTAAGATGCAGACCTGTACATAGCTCGATCGATGCTTCTCCCAGTCCTGCATTCTGTCTGGAAAAGAAAAAAAAAAACCACGAATTGAAGCTGTTATTATAGCCACAATTCGATCGTCCCCCGGCAGGATGGAACCTGACCTTTGATGCCCCGTTGCTTTCGGATGTGATGAGGCAACAGGGTTAGTAGTAGTCGTACCCCGAAATCTTGCGGTGATAACTCGGTACTGCTTTTGGAAAGATCCGAGATTAGGACAGCGATGCTGACATTGGAAAGGTGTTTTTTACTGTTACTGTTGTTGCTGCTGCTAAGTCGGCACGGTTACTTACCTAACCTGCTGCTGGGTTTGCAAGCTTCCTCGGGAGCCTTGGTACTTTTGGAGGAGCTATCGTGTACTTTTGTGTCTAAAATAAACCTATTTCTAATCACTTTATTTACCTTCTTCCGTTACCGTTGGACTGCAGTCAAAAAGCCTACGACAGCGTCTCTCCGTGCCCTGTAAATATCTCTTTCACAGTTGTTATCAGTCTCTCGAGGGCCCTGCTGGGCAGCAGCAGTACGCCGTACGCCGAGGCCATCCGACCCTACTGGAGGCCCCCAACCCTTTCTAAACCTCTCATTTCACAGATTCGCAGCTATGGAACTACAGAAAGCTAAAAATAGAAGACGATGAGAGGAAGTTCCTCTTAGCAGTTGTTATTATACTACTACATCTGTCACTGTCTCTCGCCAGCGACCGCTAAACTGCTCACCGTATGTTTCATCTGAAATTCGTTTTCCTTGGGTTCTTTCGACTCGTCCCGAGAATTTCCGCAAAGGCGAAGCAGGTGGCGGGGGGGATACGGTGTGCCAAGAGGTTTTCACGGCACAGTTGCAGCCGCCGTGGCTCCGGCACCGGTACCAGTACCCAGGGCGGCCAGTTTGGTTGCCGATTTTTTTTTTTTTGCAAAATGACACTGTTGTAGCGTTTTCGTTGTTATTTAGTAATTAGTGTTTCATCATAGTCTAATTAGGCTTAAAAGATTCGTTTCGTAGATTTCGTCTAAACTATGTAATTAGTTTTATGTTTTATTTATATTTAATACTTTACGTATGCGTTTAAAATTCGATGTGACGGAAAATCTTGAAAAATTTAGCATTCAGGAGGAAACTAAACAGAGCCCCACTAGTACCCAGCAGCGCAGGATGATGGGTCCCAGCATGTTGAATGTGTCAGGTTCCTTTCGGTAACGGGAAAGCATCCGGCATCCGGGTGGAGGACGTGTCCAGGCTGCGCTCCGGTCGTACCGAGCTACAGTCTTTGCTGGTCCGACGTGACGATCGTGGCCTAATCAGCCACTCTCGGGCTCTCGGCTTAGGGATTGGATTGGAGGCGTCATTATTGACGAAGCCACTAATCTCGGAACTACTACTGAGGAAAGGATAGTGCTGTTTGGTTAATTGGTTGGTAGGTAGGCGCCCACACGTGCCCAAAACAAAAAGCATGGCTTCGGACAGACGGACACACACACACATCGTGGCAGATGGGAAAAAAAGGTGAGTACAAGGAGTGTCATAAAAAGAATTACAACGCTGTACCTTGTCCAAAAAATCAGGCCCGACTCACCCAGTGGAACGGTCGTAGATGAGATTTGGCCCGAAACAACCGACTTTTTTTCAACCCGACCTGCAAAATGCTCACGCCTACTCCCTCCATCTCTAAATAATTGTCACCGTTGGTGTGTGTGCTATAAGTTTGACTCGATTTGTAAAAAATACGTGTAACTTTTGTATCTCTAAATAAATTTATTAAAAAACTAGATTCCTTCTAAAAATACTTATTATGTACCATAAATATTAATATTTTTAATATATATTTAGTCAAAGTTGTTTTTCGGGAAACGAAAACGACATATATTTAGGGACGGAGGGAGTGAGTGTATTGTTGGTTGCTTCCAACAATTTCAAAATCTCACCTCTTAAAAAAAAGGACAATTTTGCATCAGGAATCGTGGACTATTTTTAAATCACTCTATCCACTTTTATACTATTTGTCTCTCTTATACATTTTGCATCGTGAGTACTGTTCTACTCTTCGTTTTTTCTCACATCCTTCCATCTTCAGATTGATATTTCTGGGCGATTGGACTGATTTTTCCCAAGTGTGGAAAGATTGGGGGTTGAGATAGGGAATCGTTGGAGAGCTGCTTTTTCAGTCTTCCCAAAAAAATCAAAGATCGGAAATAGGTCTTGGAAACTCTCGGATACGTCGTGCTGGTAGCAATATACTTACCATTCGAACGAATTATTTTTGCCGCGGAGTTGCAGAATGTAACACTACCGATAGCTCAAAAAATGCCTGAACTGATCTGTTGCTTATACTTTTGCTCCATCTTGAAATGCGTTTATGCTCAGCATTTCTAATACTCGATCAACCGTGGCCTACTTTCGAAAACGCATTGCCAGATACGGAGTACTCCTTATTTCTTATTGATTGAAGGCAAAAAAAAAAAAACACGTGGTGCGTGTCAGATACATGCATGCTTGCTTATACTTTGCTTAGACCAGAAGCCCAGCTGGGACGACGTGGACCTAGAATGGATAGCCTTGCCATTCCATTCCATCTAACCCAACTGAATTTTGTTAGAGATTCATGTTGAAAATAAATCCAAATTCACTGCATCCAGTATTCCAGCTCGATCAAATCCCGAAAGTATATATCCTTGGACCATGTGCCTTGTTGGCCTTGTTGGCCAATGGCAGTATGTTGGATGCGCTGGGGTAACTTGTCTGAGTTTATCAGCGTCAAGCGGCCTACATTCCACATGGCAGTGTAGCACAGGCCAGAGGGTAGCCCCATGCCCTCATCTGAATCTGTAATTTGGTAGCTCAGCATCATTATGTTATTGATGATGAAGTGACCTATCTCCGCTGGAGGATTTTATTCGGAACTAAAAGGAGGACATTTGGTAGGTGCCCACACTTTTGGTAGAAAAAGGGTGTTTGGTAGAAAAAGGGTGCGTGCGGCTCAGGAGTCAGGACATACAATATGACAGATGATTCACAAACTTTTCGATATATATCGTCATCGAAAAAGATGCAACAGTCTTAAAAAAAAGTTCAGTGCTGTACCGATACAAGCACAAATATACAACGTCATGTGAAATAATGCTGGTTTGTGCCAGCCCTGTCTCACTTTGAAGAATCCATTAGTGTTTGACTCTGTGTCCTAGCAGCAAATTACTGATGAGTACTACGGCGGTTTTAGATGGAAGACAGGTGGCTCCGTTCGGCTTCGCTGAAAAAACATGCCGAAACACTGTTCCGGCTGATTTGTTGGAAGAGAAATACTATTCTAACTAAAAAAAATAAAGTTAAAAAATACGGATTATAAGAGAATCGAACCGACCTTATCCGGGAGGCACTCGTATTCATCACATGCTTGTTGGCTGTTGCTTCACGGGCCCTGAGACGATCTACTCCGCGTGATCCAGACAGCCAGTTCAGAGCTGGGTTTGTGGTGCCGGTAGAGGACACGTGGTCAGTGCCAGACACGCTACGCGGACAGGTTTGTTCAGCGTTTAGCCTTGCCACTGGCCACTGCATTCCATAACTCCATCCAAAGTGCATATGCCGAGCCCAGCTGACGCTGCCAGCTGTTGCTGACCTGCCTTGCTCTCAGAACCCCGAGCCCAGACAGTAGTCAGTAGGCAATGATACTACTAGGATCAGCTACATAAACAGTGTCACGGAGGACGGCCTCACCTCATGTAAAACAATCTGAACTCCTGAAGTGAAGTCCGTCCCGGGTGGTGTTTTAGGCAACGGCAGGCACATCATCGATTCATCATCTTTCTCTCCGGCTGTACTGCAAGTGAGCAGTGAGTACACCGCCCACCGGGTCCGTACCGGAGACGACGACCAATGAATAACGCCGGGCGGCCCTAAGCGAGCGGAGCAGATGCCGGGGGTTCAAGCAACAGCCTGGACAATAATCGTCGTATGGTTCCAAATGCGTGCAAGACCAAGTTTCCCGTCTCGTCCTCGCTGACAGAGGGAAGCAAATAAAAGAGGGTGGAAAATCTGGGCCTCACCTCGAACCGCCCACGCACAACATTCAAGAATGAAACAGTAGTGGTCCTACTGTGGTGCGTAGTACTCCTACTCGTACGCAGCTAGATCAGCAGCGTTGAGAACGTGCCGGTTGACAGCGCCGCCCAAGAGGGGGCGGAACGACGAGCGGCCGGCCGGCCACCACACGTCGCTGTCAATGTCAAGCCCAAACCACCGCCCTGCCTCGTTGTCTCTGCTCTCTGCAGCCGCCGCCGAGCTGTGCTGTGCACCGGTGATCTGTGCCGTTTTTGGGTTGGTCGTGCGCCGTGGCCGCACGACGGACGCTCGGAGATGCGGTAGAGTTGCTTCAGCAAAAGGAGAACACCTGCCAATCGGGCCCATGGCTGGACGGTTCCGGGGGAGGCGGGGAAATTGACCCAATTCCAGTCCTTGTAACGCAACAGAAAGCTCGCGCGGCCCAGCTGCGCGCTTCTCACACGGCAAGGGGGAGGCACCTCACGGGAGGCCCAGACTGCTTGCGCTGCTCTCGCCGGGTCACGGGGTAATACTTGGCCCGCATACCATTTCATTGTTGTCATCTTTCCTTTTCATTGGCCCAACCAGAGTAATACTTGGCCCGGCTAAGACCGAGTGAAGTTCGGCCAAGAGATAATATGATGTGCGCGTTGTTTTGTTTTAAGATTATTCCAACAATACAGTTTTACTTGTTGCAATTATTACAGGTGTATTTCAATTGTTTGGATTGGATAGCACATTCCAATTGGTCGAATAGTACATCTAGATTTGTCTAACGTATCGTCTGTCATTGTCACAATAGTGTATGTTTATCGTA